AAATATCGATGTGTGAGAGCAAGAGAAACATCAATTTGTTGCCCCTCAAACATGTCCCCAACTGGGGACCTGGCCCCACAACCCAGGCATGTGTCCCAACCAGGAACTGAACTGGCAACCTTTCAGTTCATGGGCTGTTACTCAGGACACTACAGGTTCAAGTTTTCTTGATGAAAAAAAAAAGAGATTACACTGAGGAAAAGAAAGGATATTAAATGAAGAAAATTTTAAATACCACCATCCATGAAAATACATTTCTAAAGAAATTGATATGGGTCATAATTTATAGAAACATACCCTTAGGGTATGAGGAGAAAGCTGCATACTAGAGATTCTCGGCCTGAAGAAATCAGGGCTGGAGAAACTGACAAGTTGGTAGTGCTAGATCCAAAAGGGTAGCCAACAGTCCAATACCAGTGTCTAAATGGTGTGGCTGCCTTGGGCTTAATTCTGGCCTTGAGCATCAATGTGAAGCAGTTCTATAATAGAACTCATAGCACCAAGCAACAGAATTGTTATCTGCCATAATGGCAATTAGGATGAGTGACAACATATCAAATTGTTCAGTCTCCATTGGGGTACGACCTGTGTGGGGGCAATGTTAAGACTCTTGCCAAATGACCTGCTGTTCAAGACTGGACTCAACTCCTAATGGGAACTGGAGAGAAACACACAGCTCAAACCCTGGCAGATGCAATAAAGCAACACCAAACAGTGAGGAGTAAGATGGCTGCTTTGTGTGCTCTTGTAAGTCAAGGATGACATTTCTTCTGCTGCCACCACGTGATATTAAACATGGCAAGGACCTAGCATCTGCCCCCCGACTGAAAATGTCTAGGGAAGAATAATAATTGACACAGATCTCAAATTCATCTTTTCTTGATCTCCATGGTAATATATTTGGTCCTTAAGTTAAATGATACTGTAATATCATCAATTCTCCAAATAAAATGTTATAATCATCCTCCAACAAAAAGAAAATAAGAGACAAAGCATGAACCCCTAAGTAGTCTTGCAAATAAAAATGTTCATTTATGCAAGTAGTAAATATTATTTTCACTAAAATATTTTCAGTTCCCAACATACTGAAAGTATTCAATTTATCATCAAACTACTCAGAATAAAATACTGTAGAAAATAACAGCCACTCTCAGTTAAATTTTAAATGGATATTATTCAGATTTTTGCTCTCAATTCTCTGAGAGCAGAATCTAAAGACGAATTCATTTTTATGGTAAATGGCAGGGGGTAACAGGGAAAAGAAGGGGAAAGGTCATCAAGGAACATGTATATAGGACCCATGGACAAAGGCAAAGTGGGGAAGGATTGAGGGTGGGAGGTGGGGGGGGGTGGGGCCGGGGAAAGTGGTGGTGGGAAAATGAGACAAATGTATTCGAACAATTAAAAAAAAGAAAATTTTGATTTTAAAATAAAACAAGTAATTATAGTGTATGATATCAATTATCTGTATATTTTAAAGTTATTCATATTATGAGACAAAGATCTAGTATAAGGGAAATTTTAGTGTGTCAACACAATCTATCAAAATACAATAAATATTCTTTGACAACCTCTGAAGACCATGCATATGTCCAGATGTCCTATCTCTGTATTTCTGTGCCCCTCTATCCTGTGGCCAAATGAGCAAAATGCTGCAAAAGGCTTTCCACAATGCTCTGCAGAACTATTAACTGCCTACTTTATCAAACCAAGCCACGGGAAGGAAAAATAATAAACAACATGTTATATTATTTTCTCCTCTGATGGTGTTTATTTTAAACTTCATGTGCAATTTAGTCAAATAAACAGGTTGTTGAGGAAAGGAATGAATGGGAAGTTCCAGAAGGAAAGGTTTTTCCCTCCCCATCTAGCCTATAATACTATATACCTGTAATAATAATTCTATATCCTGTAAGAATAATTTTTCAAAAATTATGAACTTGCAGGGTGACTATGGTTGTAATTGCAAAACTCTTGCAAAAATATTTCATCTAATAATTTTTGAATGAAAGAAGAGTGCTCTAGAGTTTTTATTAAAATCCTGTATAATATATGAATTGCTTTGTATTGTGTGAACTTTAAGAATGGGGACACAGAACACTTTGTTCCATGTCCCATTTCCCACACAGAACGGCCCTAATGTTTTCTGCAGATCTAAGCACACGCCATATGTTCCATCATCATACACCAGGTTACCCCATGGAAGGTCAGAAATCTTCCAGGGAAGCATTCACTGGGTGCAGCCTTAATTAACGAATTACCCTGGCTGGGGGGTGGTGGTGGGGGAGTGGGGGAGTGGAGTTGGGAGAACATGGAAATCCAATTTAACCTTGTTATGTGAAACCTTAGCATTTGAAATGTGTTACAGATATCAAAAAATAAACTTTACACAAAAACACTGTACAAATACAAATTTTCAGTTGTGAAATCGTTCATAAATAGAAATCAGACAGCAATGTTCATATCGCGTTTTTCAGACTGGCTAAACACTCAGTTTATCACTGTGTACTCCACTGAGTGAAGCATGTGTGCTGTTCCCACCGAATGACACAGATTTCAAAAAATAAGTATGATTAATTGGGTAAGTTAAATGACTGATTTAAAAGTTCCTGCAGCAAGCTCTCTGCTTGGACATTTACACGTAGTAAATATTACAAAACCTTTAAAGATGATCTTTAAGATGTCCAGTTATCTCAATATAATAAAATATTTAAAAGGAAGATACAAAAGTATAACCAGAGTGCATAAATATATATATTGTTAATCTATAGTGAAGAATAGACCACATGGGAAGGCGCTATAAGGGACCCCTTATAATAACAGAAGTGTATATGCTAGTGATAATGATGAGCCAGAAAACTACTTTAACTTTAATTTGTAAAATCAAGTTAATCAATATAAAGATGTAAGCACCAGCTTATGTCATCTCTCCCCTTCCCCCATCCAATTTTTACTTATTGTTATACATTCATTAACTTCAGAGTCTATCGGCTGACAGAATGTACTGCCATGTTTTGGAAACAGCAAGACAACCATCATTACAATCAGAAGGCAAAAATGTTACACAGAAAATTCTATTGAAATGTCACCTTCTCAGAGACCTGCCTGCCTTTGTCTCTCCTTACTGTGCATTTTCTGTGGGTGAGAACAGGCAGTACTTCTGCCCCTGTGGCTATGATTTTTGAAACTCAATTTCGATCTGTAAACTGAGGACAATGGAGTTTCTAAACTGGGATTCTAGGATTTAGTTACAGCTCTGGGGTTGCTGTAGGGATGGGGACGCCCCCCCCCCCCGCTGCCCGCTGTTGCCCTCTCAGGCTTGGAGGACCCGTCACTCTGTCCCAGTTGCCAACTCAGCTCAGCAGCCCTGGCCACATTCATCACAGAGCCATGAAGCACAGAACCCTGGCACTCGACCTGATTTCTGGCAGCTGACAGAAGCTTCTGGAGCAGGATATTGCCTGGACCACAGGTTTACTAAGTCCAAGGCGTGGACTGGAGTCCCTCACCCAATATGGTTGATCTCCCTGCCCATTCAGCAGGCAGCAATGCTCGGGCAGGGTTCTTTTCCTTTTTTGTTGTTTCTTTGTTTTTGTTTTGTTGTTCTTTTTGTGTTTGTGTAAGAATAAAAAAATAAGTGAATTAATTTAGACATTAAAAAAAAACCTTTCCAAGACCTGGACTCTAAAAATCTTACTTCTAGTACCCAAGCACCGGTCATTCATGTGTCAACTTCCCCTCCAAATGTCTTTCTCTTCTGTGAGGAATTACATTGGTTTCCAGTTGTCTATACTTCCTAACTTTCTACAAAATGGGAATGCTCTTAGAGGACAATCCTTTTTCTCAACTCCTGGGGAGTGACTTCCACTAATATAACACCCTGTCCTCTCTCTACTTGCTGTCTCCCTCCTCTGCTGGGCATGTGCAATGAGCCATCAGCCTGGGGAGCTGGTATGAGAGGCCTAGGTCTTTCTCTGTCTGTTTAGAGCAAGGATGACACAGGAGAGTGGTTCTGCTCTGCTCCTCCATGCCCTGAATGTTAGGGAGGCAGATTCTGCTTCCTGTAGGAGAGGGAGGGAGAATGTGGGAACAAGTAGAAACAAGACTGAGTATGGGAAATCAAAGCATGCAGGTGGAGAGACTCTTTCTATTAAGTGTTATGTGTTGGCTAGATGAGTCATTGATTGGCTTCTAACCTTTCTGAGAGTCAATGTGGAAAAGGAGTCTTGACTAGTTACACAATTCACAGTGTCACCAGGAAAGATCAATTGCTCAGAGAAAGTACAACCATTCACATAACTAAGGGCAGACGAAAGTTCCCCCACAGGATCAACCTAAAGGGACGCATTGAGTAATGCCACGAGCAGTACCTCTGCAACGCCCACACAACAAGTCAATGTTGAATTGAACATCACCAGGCTACTTCTTGACATGCCCTTTATGTAGATCAATAGTAGCACTGCAGATCCAGCAAAAGCAACTCTGATTATTTGAGAGGAAGGTGAACAGGGACAGCCATAGCAGATAATTCCATGCATGCATGGATAGTATGAGTCATTCCAGCTGTCTATTTAGAAAACTATAAGCAAACATTCTGTATACCTGCATGCCCTTCGGGGAAAATTTGGTAAGCTTCTGATAAATATTGGGCAGTAATGAGTTAGAGATTATACACCCTAGAAAGTGGTTGGAATATGGCTTCTCTACCTGGCTGATTTAAGAGAGATATACTATGCCTTAGTGACTAAGCTAAATAAAGCGCTGAGCTGGGGAGAACAGCAGCGTTCTTTCAGGTAACAAAGATGTATGGGGACAGAGAAGAGCAGCCAGAGGCCCTGCCCAGATGTGTGCGGGGAGCAGGGACAATCAGGTGTGTCGAGACTGTCAACTTTCTTGATGCGGATGTGAGGTATGATGTGCAGTTGCAATAGTGCTAAGAGAACCAGGGCCCCTGTGTAGATGAGGGTGTCGCAGGGTGTGGCCACGTGAGCAGTTCTTACCACAGGGCGCTCTTGCTGTAAAGACTTCGTTGGTGCCTTAACTCCTTTGGTCTTCACATGCAATGAACTGATGGAGGCAGAATGCGGCTTCAAAACGGTTCCAGTCCTGGATGGAATCCTGGGTTGTGAGGGCCATGGAAATAAAGTGGCCCCTTTTCCATCGGCTGATCTCGAGCTCTGGCACACAAAAAGAACCAACTTTGTTATTCTCACTTCATTCTTCAGATTTGTGTTCCATTTTTTTCCTCCTTTGCGCTGAGCTGGAATTGCAGGGTTGGAGTTTTCAGTCCCAAAGGACCCGGATCTGTTCTTGCTCCCAGTCCCACAATCTCCCCTGGCCTTATTTAATTTGCAATTTGGGCTCTCCGCCGCCCCACTCTTCCCAAGGATGTTAGTGTACAAAGAAAAACATACCATCAGATCAATGTTTTCTGGAGGCACCTGGAAAAGTGGAGTGGGCTGTTCCTGTAGCTTGAGGTTTGTATCTTATTTGTGATAAGGTGGGGGAGGGGAATAAAAGGTAGAAGGGAAGGGACAGGAATCTGGGGAAAAGGCAATGAGCCTGAGCATCAGTACAGGAGGATGATACCTTTCACTCTCCTTATGCCAGGCTTGCTTTCTCGTGTGCTTACACTCACTCTTTCCTTCTCACTGCTCTCAACATCAGCCTCCTGGTGTCCCATCCACACTTCTTGCTACACTGTTAAGCTTCTTCTCTTTCAAACTCAGATGTTTGCTACATGAAGCAAGTCCTGCATGCTATGTATAGATCACTCAACCCAGATGCCAAAACAAGAGAAGCACAGAATAAAAGAAAAAAAAAAGAACTTAAATACAAACCTTGATATTTTGGCTGTCTAGCTTTCTTCTCATTTCCATTTCTTCTTTATGTTTATTAATCTGTGAAATTAAAGGCCCATATCATTTGTTGTTGTTTGCAAAGATTAAAAAGAATTCTCTGTAAAACTTTCTATAGCAATGAAAGAGCATCTTAAACCATTAGACTAACAAAAACATTATGGGAAAATAAGTTATAATGTTGAATGTGAATGAGAAAATAAATGTGCTCCTAGAAATAAAGCATTTAAAAGAAGTAAACAGGAATAGACAAAATTGTAAATATTTAAATTCATTAGCATTTGTTTATGGTTTTAAACATAAAAGAAATTATAGAGAAACATGCATTGTTTGCTAATGTGGTTATAATTTGTTTAATATATTACTAAAATAGCTATAAAACTCAGTCCTTATAAGATTTTTTTAGGGAAAAATTAAAATAATTTATAGGCAAACATTAATAATGTAATAAATGAAATAATGTAATCAAGTCAATTATAATTTTCAGGAATAAAACACATTTTATCAACATATTTTTAAAAAAATTTGAGATGTAATTGACATATAACATTATTAATTCTAGGTATACAACATAATGATTCAATATTTGTGTATATTGCAAAAGGATCATCACAAAAAATCTAGTTAATATCCATCACCAGATAGTTATAATTTTTTTCTCTGATAACTTCTAAGATCTACTCTCCTAGCTACTTTCAAATATATAATACAGTATTATTAACTATAGTCATCTTGCTGTACATTCCCCTGACTTATTCATCTTGTAACTGGAAATTCATGCCTTTCACCTTCGCCCATTTCACCCATGCTTACCACCCACTTCTGGCAACCACCAATCTGTTCTCTGTATTTATGTGTTTTTTTGTTTTTTTTAAATCCTCAACTGAGGACATTTTTCATTGCTTTTACTTTTAGAGAGAGAGGAAGGGAAAGAGGGAGAGAGAAACATTGATATAAGAGAAAAGCATAAATCAGTTGCATCCCACTCACACCCAGACTGGGGATAAACACATAACCCAGGCATGTGCCCTGACTGGGAAACAAACCTGCAACTTTTAGGTCACAGGTTGACACTCCAATCAACTACACCAGCCCAAGCAGTTTTTTGTTTTCTGTTTTTGTTTTAGATGCCACACAAAGTGAGATCATACAATACCTGTCTTCCTCTAACTGACTTACTTTACATTATTTCTTCAAAGTCCATTCATATTGTCACAAAAGGCAAAACATATATTATTAATGTATGGTTCAATAATATTAAGATTTTTAATAACAGAGATCCAGAAAGTAAAAACAATGGCCTCCTACCATAGAAGTTCACACCAGAAAGTAAGGAACTCAAGACAGATTAACTTAAGATACAGAAGCAAAAGAGAAGAGTCTCACAAATAATGGGAAGACAAAGAAATATGCCCCACTCGAAGGGAAAGGAGGAATCCCCAGAAAGAGAACCAAGTGAAATAGAGGCAAGTAAACTATCAGACATTGAGTTCCAAACAATGGTTCTAAGAAAGCTCAATGAGCTCAGCAAGCTCAAAGAGAACTATGAGAAACTACAGGGAAACTATCAGGAACTTACTGAAAACTCTATCAGCATGAAAAAGGACATAGAAACTATCAATAAGAGACAAGAGGAAATTAAGAATGCAATTTCTGAATCGAAGAACACAGTAGAAGAAATCAAAAGCAGGCTAGATGAAGCAGAGGATTGAATCAGCAAGCTGGAGGATAAGGTAGAAAAAAGGTCCCAGAAAGAGCAAGAAAATGAAAAAAGACCCAGAAAGAATGAAGAGGCATTTAGGAAATGCAGGACAACCCGAAACATAATAGCATCTGTATAATAGGGATACCAGAAGGAGAAGAGGATGAGGAAGGGATAGAGAACCTGTTTGAAAAAGTAATGATGGAAAACTTCCCTAATTGGAGGACAGAAAAAGTCACACAAGTCCAGGAAGCACAGAGGGTCCCATTCAAGAGGAACCCAATGAGGCCCACTCCATGACACATCATTGTTAAAATGGCAAATAGCAAAGTCAAACAGAGAATCCTAAAGGAAGCAAGGGAGAAAGAGGTAGTAAAATATAAGGCAGCCCCGATACGGCTAGCATCTGACTTCTCAACAGAAACACTGCAAGCCAGAAGGGAATGGCAAGAAATATTCCAAGTCATGAAAAACAAAGGCCTGCAACCAAGACTGCTCTACCCAGCAAGGCTCTCAATGAAAATGGAAGGCAAAATAAGGAGTTTCCCAGACAAAGAAGGCTAAAAGAATACACCTTCACCAAACCAGCACTGCACAATATGCTAAAGGGACTGCTTTAAGATGAAGAAAAAGTTTCATGAATACCCAGTTCCTTTCAGAGTTGCCAATACTTGATATTACCAATATTTTTAATATTCATGAATCTGATTGTGACAATGATGTTATTTTAATTGTTTCTTTACTACTTGTTGAAACTAAACCTGTTTTAGTATATTTCTTGCCTATTTCTATTATTTTTTTAAAAGCTTTAAATAAAAAAAGATTTTTAATAACACAAATTTATAAGTAATGCCAGTAATTCTAGGTAATCTTATTATGAAATTAAACAATGATGGGAAATACATCTAACCATTAATCTCATTGGTGCTTGAACATCAGCTATCATGTATTTTCAAAAATATCTCTTCTCTACTGATAGATTAGAATTCAACAGAACAGAACACTTGTCTCATGAAATCTTGGGATCTGGGAGGACAGTAACTGATTTTCATTAAGGGCCATGTTTAGGTTATCTCAGTGGGTTTAAATTCAAAGATAATATTTTAACTTACCTCCATTAAAATGGTTTAAAAATAATTTTCTCCATACCACTATAAGAAATTTCTAGAAATATTGAACAAGCCATCCCTTGTTCATTAAAAAAAGTATCGAGTGCATACTATATACCAGCTACTATGCTAGATGTCAAATATACAGTGATAAGCAAAATAGACAATGAAGTTAGGTGGATAAAGTTGGGACAAAGTTAGATGAAATGGTCAGAAAAGACCTCTCTTGAGGAGATGATATTTTTGCTGAGATCCAAAGAACGAAACAAAGTAACCATATGAGAAGAGGGAAGAAATGGGCCCAGGAGTTATATGGGAAGTAACTATATCTTCCCCTTGGTTTTGCCATGAACCTAAAATTCTAAAAAAGAAGGTTTGTTTTTTTTTTAAGTGGGAAGAAAAAATAGCAGAAAAAAAAAAAACTATGCCATGATTCCAGAGGAGGGAAAAGCTGGGAGGGTGTGCTAAGGTCAAGGAGAAGGTGCAAAGTTTGAATATAGTTTTAAATACAATGGGATACCATTCAGTAACTTTAAGTGTGGGGTGCGGCATGGTAATGTTTATATTATGAAGACAACATTCAGGGGAGTTATGTCCCTGGTCTTGCCCAAGTAGTTGTTATCAAGCCAATCCTTCCACAGATGACAACTATAAACTTTGGAAAGAATATATTAAAAAACAAACAAACAACTACCTGAAGACAATAGAAAGAGATAAAAAGCAGACAGATTTTGGAAGGCCAAGAGCTCTTCAAGGAATGAGATTTCCCATTTTTACAGCTTTTAACTTGGCAGTGCCCAGTCTGTGTTAGGTGGAGAACCTAAAAAAATGGCAGAAAGCTGGCAGCTTTGTGGGATTGCTGAAGACAGACTTCAGAGCAACCTCGAGAAGAGCCAGGTTGGGACCCCCAAATTCTGTACATACATTCTGCCCAAATCTCTGGCTGATGTTTGAACCAGGCTTGCAGCCAAGATAAGGCTCAAAGATTGAACTGAAATTTGAGCGGCCTCCCACTGAAGATGACAGAGAGCTTGCAGTCAGAGCCCAACCAAATTAATTACCTGATTTAAAAAAATTCTACATAACATTCATAATGCCCATAAAGTCCAAAAATACTCAATACACAAATATGTAAGAATATGTGACCTATTTTGGCGTGACAATGAGATGGCAACTCAGGAGTAGTGAAATAAGATCTCTAAAATGCTGAAAGAAAGAAACACTGTCAACTCAGAATTCTATATTGAAGGAAAGTATCTTTCAAGATTAAAAGCAAAAGAAGGATACTTTTAGATAAATAAAGAAGAGAGGGATTGTATCTCCAGCAGACCAGACCAATAAGAAAAGTTAAAGGAAGTTCTTCAGGCTGAAGGGAAACCTACATAGAACCTCTGAACTTGTAGAAGGAATAAAGAGCATCAGAAATGGTAAATATATGACTATTTTGTCTTAATTTCTTTCAATACATATGACTGTTTAAAGCAAGAATTTTAATTTGATGTAAATGTAATTGATATGACAACTCTAACTTGAAGAGTACAGAAATAAATAAATCTATATAAACAAACATATTTTCAAGATTTCACATGAAATATCCCAACATGAACTGTAAGTAGATTGTAAAAATTTAAGAGTGTAAATTATAATTGTTAGAGCAACCACTAAAAGATGAGCAATAAACCAAAATGATAATAAATTAAAATAGAATTCTAATATGGTAAAAGAAAGACAAAGAAGACACAGAGGAACAACAACAAACCCAGAGGGAACACATAGAAAACAAAGTAAATTGGTAGACTTGAATTCAACCCTATCAATAATAACATTAACTATTGATGGACTAACCAGGGGTGTTCAACCCGTGGCCTGCAGGCTACAAGTGGCCCACCCAAGGTAGCTACGGATGTGGCTCAACAGAAAAATCGTAAATTACTTAAAACCTTTTTTTTGCTCATCAGTTTTCGCAAGTGTTTGTGTATTTAACATGTGTCCCAAGACAACTTTTCGTCCGGTGTGGCCCAGAGACGCCAAAAAGTTGGACACCTCTGGCACTAAACATAGTATTTTAACTAGAAATAACCAGAATGTATGAAACAGCAAGATCTAACTACTTATTGTCTATAGCAGAAGCATTTAAATATAAATACACAGAGAGGATGAAAATCACTAATATTTATAAATTAACATAGTTTTAAATCATAAGAAAAATCAGAAATCAGAAAATATTCCACACTAAATGAAAACACAAAGTGTCAAAATTTGTGTGGTACAGGTAAGTTCTGAGAAGGAAATTAATAAAGTGCTCATATTAAAAATTAATAAAAAGTCTGAAATCAGTGACCAAATTAAGGTTCCATACTAAGGAGGTGGAAAAAGGGCAAGTAACAAAAATATATAGAAGGAAGAAAAAGGATAAAGGTCAGAACAAATATCAATGAAATAAAAAGCAATAGAGAAAATAGAGCCAAAATTTTAGATTATACAGATATTAGAAGGATGGATAATAAGGGAACATTATTGGAAAACCTCATAGCAACAAATTTATAATTAAATTAAATGGACAAATTGAAGAATACAACCTAACAAAACTGAAATAAAGTGAAATAGAAAACATGACTTGCTATTAAAAAATAAATCCAGTGCTGACTTCAGCAGCACATAGACTAAAATTGAAACAATACAGAGAAGATTAGCACCGCCCCTGCGCAAGGATGACATGCAAATTTGTGAAGCATTCCATATTTTTAAAAAACAAGCAAATAAATAAATAAATCTTTTATCAAAAAGCTTCACCTAAAGAAAACTCTATGCCCAGATAGTTTCACTGGTGAAATTTAGCAAACATTTACAAAAGAAATAACAACAATCTTTTTAATAACACCACTAATTTCCCCAAAGTTGTCAAAATCAGTTTTACTAACCTTTGCTCCTACCATCACCAGGTGAAAGTTTCCATTGCTTCACAACATTGCCAACACTTAATACTGTAAGACTTATAAATTTTTTAAACAATGAATCTGTTGTGGGTAATAATATTCCATCACGGTTTAAATTAGCTTCACTTATTATTAATGAGGTTAGAATATTTTTGTACATTCCTTATCTGAGCTACCATTTTTCAGCTCTGACTATTTTTCTATTGGATAATATGTCTTTTATTAAATTGATTTTTAGGAGACATTTATATTTTTTGGATACTCATACTTTGTCAACTTTGTTACTTGCGAAGTCATCACTGTAATCCAGATAATGAACAAATCTGCCATTTCTGAAAGTTTCCTTATGCCTCTTTGTAAGGCAAACCTCCACACTCTCCTGCCCCATCACCAGGCAACCACTGAGCTGCTTTTGGTCACTAACGATGAGTTTGCATTTTCAAGAATTTCAAATGAATTGGACCATACAAATGTATTTTTAATTTTGTGTTTTTTTACTGTGCATAATTTTGAGATTCATCACTGTTGCTGTTCACAGGAATAGTATATTCTTTTTATTGCTGAGCAGTATTCCCAGCTTATCTACAATGACTTATTTATCCATTCATTTGTTGATAAACACCAGGGCTATTTCCAGTTTTTGGCTTCTATAAATACAACTGCTATAAACATTTATGTACAAGTCTTTGTGTGACTATATGCATTTATTTATCTTGGATAAATACCTGTAAATAGAATTACCAGATCATGTGATAGGTATAGATTTAAAAATTTTTTAACTGTCAATATATTTTTCCAATTGGCTTTATGTTTTACATTCCCACCAACTGTGAATGAGAGTTCTAGTTAATTCTCATCCTTGGTAATACTTGATATTGTCAGACTTTTACACTGTAGTCATTTTAGTGCATATACAGTGAAATCTTGTTGAGATTTTAATTTGTATTTCCTTATAGACTGATATTGAGCCTTTGTTCATGTCTATTCCAATTGTTTGCCCATTTTTGAAAAGTGGATCAGTCACCATGTTATTGAATTGTAATAGTTCTTTGTATATTCTATATGCAAATCCCTCATTAGATATGTATTGCAAATATCTTCTCCAACTCTGTGGCTTGGCTTTTCAGTTTTCTTTTAACATTTTGAAGAGTAAAAAAAAAAAAAAATTTTGATGACGAGCAATTTACACTATTTAAAGACATCTCGGCCAAACCCAAGGCCATTAAGATCCTCTTTTGTACCTTATTCTGGAAATATTGTGGTTGTGGTTTTAGCTATTACATTTAGGTTTATGAGCCATTTCAAGTTAACTTTCACATGAAGTGTGAGGTAAGGGTTGAGATCCTTTTTTTTTCCTGTCCAATAGCTCCAGCACCATTTGTTGAAAAAATTATCCTTTTTTGGTTTGAATAGCCTTGGCGGCTTTGTCAGAAATTTATTTACCATATATGACTCACAGGGTCTATTTCTGGGTTTTCTGTTCTATTTGATCAATCTATATGCTTATCCTCATGCCAATATCACTTTACCGTGACTACTGTGCCTTTAGAGTAAGCATGGAAATCAAATTGTGTGAGTCCTCCAGCTTTGCTCTTTTTCAAAATTGTTTCAGCTATCCAAGGTCCATGAATGCCCGCACATTTTAGAGGTTCATGTTAATTTTCAAAAATTCCCTGCTGGGATTTTGATTGGGATTGTGCTGAATCTATAAATCAAGTTGGAGATAACTGACAGCTTATTAACATGCATCTTATGAATCATGAACACAGTTTGTCCATGAAGTCAAGTCTTTAATTACTCTCAGCAGTGTTTTCATAATCTGTACATATTTTGTCAAATTTGTCCATAAGAACTGCATATTTTTATGCCATTGCAACCGTTCTTTAAATTTTCAATCTTGATTTTTCACTGCGAGTATATAGAGGAAATACATTATTTTTGTATCTTGATTTTTGTAAACTTGCTAAATTCATTTATTATTTCTAACAGGTTTTTTTTGGTAGATTCCTTAGGATTTCCCATATAGATAATTAAGTCATCTGGAAATAGAAATAGTTCTTTTTTTCCAATCTGGATGCCATTTATTTCTTTTTCTTGCATTACTCTACTGGCTAGGACCTAATGCTGAACAGAAGTGATAAGAGCAGAATTTTTTGTCTCATTTCTAATCTTAGACTTAAAACATTCAGTCTTTAATTGTGAAACATGTTAGTTGTGTTTTTCAGGTACTTATCAGTTTTGGAAAGTTCCCTTTTATTCCCAGTTTGCTGAGGGTTTTTATCATAAATGTATATTGGGATATCCAGTCAAGTTGGTGGTATAGGTAAATACAGTACTCGATCTTCCCACAATCATATCAAAATTACAGCTAAACTACAGAACAACCATCATTCAGAATCTCCTCAAATCTAGATAAATGGAAGTCCTACACCTACGGCTTTAAAGAAGTCACACTGAGACTGGTAGGAGGGGCAGATAGGCAGAAAGGGCTGGTCCCACACCCAGGTGTTATGGATAAATATAGGAAAGGGTATTTTAGCTGCAGAGGTCCCCCATGAGGAGTGAGGGGTCCCAGCCCCACACCAGGCCTTGCAGCCCAAGGTTTCAGAGCCAGCAGGAGAAGTCCCCATAACTTCTGGTTGTAAAACCAGCAGGGATTGTGATTGAGTGAGATGGAGGGCTTCTGGAGTCCCACACAGCTCCTCTTAAAGGGCCCATGTACAAACTTACTTGAACTTACTCCCTCTGAGGTCCAGAGCTGGGTTAACAGCTTGAAAGGAACCAGGAACATATGGGGGGGAACTGAATTGTCTTGCATCAGGGCGGCAGTTGGCAGAGAGCAGCTTTCTGCCTGACAAAAGTGCTGGAACAGGCCGTTGTTCTTTTTCTGAGACCCCCTCCACAGAGCTGGCAGGAGGGCACATATCCGAGTCTCCATTAACCTGGTTCCCACTTTTTACCATGTCCTGGTGATTTCCTGAGACCTCGCCCACCCAATTTGCTAACACACCCAAGCTATTTCTAGTGGCTTTTCCATAAAAATGGCCTTTCTTGCCTCATGCTTTGGACTTTCCCTTATATATGCAGCATCTGGCTTCTATATACGCCATACCTCTTGCGAAGTGGCCCCAGGACCAACAGCAGCAACAGTTTACTTTGGTTTTCAGCTTGGCCTCTCCTGGGTACCTCCAATCAAGCACAAGTAAGAGCTATTTGCATATCACTCTGTAGCTCATGATGGGTGGCCCCAGGCAAGGCTCAAGTGGTAGCTGACCTTGCACCTCTTGGAAGGCCCCAGAGCCAGTGTACCCAGTGGACACTTCAGACCACAACACTACCACCAGATTACAACCCCACCGCACACAAAGGGGCAGACTTGGGAATTACCAAAGCCCCATTGAAGCAAGTCCTTTTCCATAGGGTTGACTTCTGCACAGCAGCTCTTCCACCATAGTCACAGCCAGTCCTTGCAGCCAATATGTATGGGGGTCAATCCTTGAATACCAATAGTAACTAAGGCTCAACTACAACAAGACAGTGCACACAGCCAACATAGGGACACACCTGGAGTGTCCAGCTCAGGTGACTGGGGAGGCTGCACCATGGGTCCTATAAGAAAAACAGTGAGAGGGAAAGAGAGAGAGAGAACGTTAAAAACAGAAAGAGAAAAACAGTTAGTTATCCTCAAGGGAGCTCCCATAAGATTGTCCACTGATTTCTCAACAGAAACTTTGCAGGCCATAAGGCAGTGGCAAGAAATATTCAAGGTGATGGAAAGCAAGGACTTACAACCAAGATTACTCTACCCAGAAAAGCTATTTAGAGTTGAAGAAAAAATAAAGAGCTTCTCAGACAAGAAAAAGCTAAAGGAGTTTATCACCACTAAACTGGTACTATATGAAATGTTAAAGGGTCCTTTTTAAGAAGGAAAAAAATATGAACAAAATGGTAACAATACATGTCTAACAACAACTGAATCTAAGAAACAAAAATAAGCAGAACAGAAACAGATTCATAGATACAGAGAGCATTTTGATGGTTGCCAGATGGAATGGGGTTTGGAAGAATGGGTGAAAAAAGTGGAGGGATTAAAAATTACAAATTGGTTGTTACAAAATAGATTACAAAATAGACATAGGGATGTAAAGAAGAGTATAAGGAATATAGTCAATAATATTCTAATAACTATGTATAGTGTCAGACGGGTTCAAGATCTATTGGGATGATCACTTAGTAAGTTATACAATGTCTAATCACTGGGGTGTACACCTGAAACTAATGTGATATTGTATGTCATCTGTAATTGAAAAAAATAAAAAAGATTAAAAATAAATAAATAAATAAATAAATATGTATTGGACTTTCTCAGATGTTTTTTCTACATGTATCTATCCCCTGGTTCCAACATTTTACATCTTTCCCATATGCAAAACATAACTACCCTCACCCTAGGCTTCCAAAAATCTCATCCTATTATAGCATTAGCTTGATTCTGGATCTCATTATCTTACTCAGGTCCAGATGCAAATGAGGTTCTTTGAGTACAGTCTACCTTGATCTGAAGACCAGTAATTACAGACACAAGTTATCTGAACCTCAAAGCTAACATACCATGGTGGTATGTAAGACACGACAGCTACTAGAGACCCTCCTCTTCAGTCTTGGATTTATCTGTCCCACTGAAAATACGTGATGGTTCTTAGGCACAGAAATATAGTTATATATATTTTTAAAGTAAATGTCTGGGTTACCAAAATGTCGGTTTTCATATTTAGTGACCATGTTACATGTAATAAGACTGGGAAGACTTGAAGGATGACTTAGGGGGCATTCAGGCAACAAGAAGCCCAGTTTTGGGACTCAAGGCCAATGGTAACGATCAGTGTTGTGCCCCTAGAATGAGGGTCTAGAACAATCTTTGTAACTCCTTTCTATCTCAAGTCTGGATTGTTCCTAGAAATAAGGTGCACAAGGATGACAGAGATGAAAAATCAGTTAAGGGTAAGAATTCAGTTATGGTATTTTCCTGATGAGGACTCTTTTCTTTTTTTTTTTTTAAATTAAGATTTCATTTATTTATTTTTAGAGAGGGGAAGGGAGGGAGAAAGAGAGGGAAATATTGATGTGTGGTTACCTCTTGAGTGCCCCCTACTGGGGACCTGGCCCGCAATCCAGGCATGTGCCCTGACTGGGAAATGAATCGGTGACCCTTTGATTCATAGGCTGGAGCTCAATCCACCGAGCCACACAAGCCAGGGCTGAGGGGGACTCTTTTTTGTTAGCTTCAAGATAAATCGAAGTACAGGATATAAAATTTACATATAAAACTAGTGGCATTTCTATACACTAACAATTATTTGAAAAAAAATAAAGAAAATGGCCCCATATACAATAGCATAAAAAACAATAACATATTTTGGAATAAATCTTACCAAGGAGATGAATAATCTCTACAATGAAACTACAGACATTGATGAAAGAAATTAAAGAAGATACAAATAAATGGAAAAATATCTCATGTTGATGGATTAGAAGAATTACTATTATTAAAATATCAATACTACTCAAAATCATCTATAGATTCAATGTAGTCTCTATTAAGATTCCAATGACACCTTTTAAAGTAGAAAAAAAAATCCTAAAATTTATGTAAAACCACAAAAGACCCCCCAAAACTAAAACAATCCTAAGGGAAAAAATACACAAAGCTGGCGGTATCACACTTTTTGATGACAAACCATATTATAAAGCATAGTAATCAAAAGAGTATGGTGCTAGCATAAAAACAGATATGAAACAGAATCAAGAACCCAGAAATAAACCCATACATCTGTGGTCAACTAATACCTGACAAGGCAGCCAAGAATACTCAATGGAGAAAACATGCTTCAATAAAACATGCTGGGAAAATTAGATATTCATGTGTAAAAGAATGAAACTAAGCCTATACCTTAAACAATTCACAAAATATATCTAAAAATTTAAAGGCTTAAACAGAAGACCAGAAACCATAAAACTCCTGGAAGAAAACATAGAGAAAAAGCTTATTTTTAAAAAAATTTATTTCTTTTTAAACAGAGGGGAAGGGTGTGAGAAAGAGGGAGAGAAACATCGATGTGTGGTTGCCTCTCGCATACGCCCCTACTGGGGACCGGGTCTGAAACCCAGGCATGTGCCCCAGCTGGGAATCAAACTGGCAACCCTTTGGTTTGCAGGCCAGTGCTCAATCCACTGAACCACAACAGTCCGGGTGAGAAAAAGCTTCTTGACGTGGATCTAGGCAATCATTTTTGGATATGGTGCTCAAAGCACAACAAAAGCAAAAATAAACAAGTGGGACTACATCAAACTAAAAAGCTTCTGCACAGCAAAAGAAACAATCAACAAAATGAAAAAGCACCTATAGAATAGAAGAAAATATTTGGAAATCATATATCTGATAAATGGTTAATATCCAAAATATACAACTCAGTAGCAAAAAACCCAAATAAGCCAATTATAAAATAGGTAGATGATTCAAGCAGACTTTTTTTTTCAAAGAAGATATTCCAATGGCTAACAGGTTCTTAATGTCACAAATCATCAGGGAAATGCAAATCAAAACCACAATGAGATATCACCTCACACTTGTTAGAATGGTTGTCACCAAGAAGACAAGCGATAAGTAATGTTGACAAGAATGTGAAGAAAAGGGAACTGCTGTGCACTGTTGGTGGAAGGTAAACTGGTGCAGTCCCTGTGGAAAACACTATGGAGATTCCTCAAAAAATTTTAAACTAGAACTACCATATATCCCAGCACTTCCATTTCTGGGCATTTATCCAAAGGAATCAAAAAACATTAACTCGAAAACATATATGCTCCTCATGCTCATTGCGACATTAGTTTCAATAGTCAAGACATGGAAACAACCTAAGTGCCCATCAGTAGATGAATGGATAAAGATGATGTGGTACATAAATACAATGGACTATTACTCAACCATAAAAAAGAATGAAATTTTGCCACTGTGACAACATGGATGAACCTTTAAAGCATTATGCTGAGAGAAATAAGTCAGATAGGTAAAGATGAATCCTTTGTCCTCTTACTTATAGTGGAATTAAAAAAAAAACCCTCATATACAAGGGGCAGATTGGTGGTTGCCAGAGGCAAGGGATGGACAGGGAAAAGGGGGCAAAGATAGTCAATAGGTACAAATTTCCAGTTATAAAGCAAGTAAATCCGAGGGATGGAATGTACAGCATGGTAACTATAGTTAATATTATGTATTGTATATTTGAAAGTGGTTAAGAAAATAAATCTTAATAGCTATCACAAAAAAACCTTTGTTAACTATGTGTGGCAATTGATGTTAACTAAACTTATCATGGTAACATTTTGCAATTTATCCATATATTAAATCATTTTGTTGTACACCTAAAACTAATACAAGGTCATATGTCACTAAGTATAGGAATCACAGGAAAATAAGAAATTATTTCACATGCTTCCCTTAAAGCCTATCTGAGGATATTTTATTGCTTACTTATTCTTATTGATCATGCCTTTTTACTACCAGTTCCATGACTTTTAAACTAGGCTTTTAATAGGTCAGAAAATAAAATATATAGGCAAGCACAGAACAAAAACCCTTCAGTGAGAAAGTTTTTAAATTTTTACAAAATGACTTTGGTTACTCCACCTTCTCCCACTCCTCCATCTAGGCATAATCGCAAATCTTCATTTCTGGAATAAAGCACTCTGGCAAGAAACAAAGGAAGTCCAAGTAGCTACAAAGCCAGCCTCCCTCCCAGTGAATAACAAAATGTCTTGGTGGAGGGGGATGGGTAAAGAGCACCAAAAAGTGACCTTGCTGGGCCCAAAGATATGCCATGGAAACCTTGCTCATAAGCTCACTCCCTTCACTGACAACATGGACCCCCAAACCAGTTCTGAGGTACTAAAGCTCTTGTGCTGTTGTGGGTTTTGTGATGAAAGATCTTGCTGCTTGGCAACAAGCAGGTTCAACAACTTCTAAATAACAAAATAAAAGATGGTTGGTTCCCCTGTGGGCAATAGAATAGCACCAGTTAACTGCTTACAGTTCAAATAAAGAGGAAAAGTGATTAAAAAACTATGGGGTCTGTTCCTAGTATAGGCACAAACTTTCATATTAAGTAGTTTAATTTCTTGTCTAACACTGCTAACAAACTGACAACCTAACATTTGCTTCCCACTCTGTAACTGCACTTTCTAGTTTAATGACAACATGCACATTTAGTTGTTTTCAGAAGCAACTCCTGGACTTCGGAAAGAAGAGGGCAGGATGGGACAGAAGAGATCCACCAAGTATACGCAAATAATGGTGCTGGTTTTTATATGCCAGGTATTGAAAACTAAAGGGCTCAAAATAACATATTTGTTAACACATGGTTTCTGTGACTAGCTACCCATCATTTTTTTCTTGCCTGCATTCACAAGTTGGTTTCATAGAAGGCTTTGTTGTAGTCCAGGAGCATTGTTTTGCATTAATTTCTATGACAAGGAACCCAAAACACATGGTGCCGAGAGTAACAAAACAGAGTTAGAAAAACAGTCATGACTTGGCACAAAGTGTGACAAGCTGTAAAAAGGGGAATGTTTCAATATCTGAAGTGGTGTTGATTTCCTATGAACAACCTTTTCTCTCCTAAACAGTATCATATTCTTTTCAAGCACATTTAGAACGCAAGTCAAGCTGTGTTTTATTTTTGATTATAATAAACACAGTCAGTTTACTGTAACAAAGACATACTAGCCCTAATCAGTTGAAAGCCAAAGTACAACCCCATAAACTGGGCGGGGGGTGGGGTGGGGGTCCTGGGGGCGGGTAGTCAACTGATAAAATAAAAGACCAGCCGTCTGGAAAGTTCTCTTAAAAGAACATAAAAAGGCAGTGTTTTCTTATGAGACTAACACAGAATGCCAAAATATCTAACTGGGCTCTTTTTTTGCTGTCACGGCAACTTGTAACTAAAAATAGCAAATCTTTCAAAATATTGGACTCTCATGTTTGTTTTATTCTTCTCTATAATAAAGTCCAAAGATTTTGTACACGGCTTAAATTATAATACTATTTACATAAGACTCTTATACACAGCAGGTATATTTTAGTGATCATTTTTAAACATTTATGATTATGTATGCACTTAGATTATTAATTAAGGGAAAATGAATACATCACAGAATAGTTACAAATACAGTTTATAAAACTTTCATGATTAAATTAAGTTTCTGAATTCAAGTTTATTAGGATATAATGAAAATCACCTTACCATTTCTTGAACTAATGACTTTTCAGCATCAAGCTCAAGCCTTAATTTGTCTCTACCATCCTTTAACTGAAAGAGAATATTATATTTTCATTAAAAATTAGAACAGCTGAATTTACCCTTCAAAAAATTTAGTGAAATATATTTTGATCCTGAATACCAGAAAAATGGATCCCAATATGATTAAAGAAAAAATTAAATGTATACAGACTGCCATGTAATAACAATGTATTACCTATAATTATTATATTTTTGTCATATAAGCAACCAAAATATACATAGGAAATGCCAATTTATTTATAACCTTTCTCACCTCACCCCCAAAATGTGCTATCAATACATAGTAAAGCAAGTCCTAGTTTGTAAAAAAGAGCAATTTACTCTTTATAGAACCCACCTCTTATTTTGGGTTTTTGTGCTATATTCCTATGCAGATCAAGCCATATTTCATGCAATCAAAAACAGCCATGAGTCATCTACCGCAGGGGGCCACTTGCCTCAGTATTTTAAATTTGCGTGTGGTATATACACTGATAAAATTCAACCCTGGGTGTTGACATCCATTCAATTCAATTAATTCATATATTCATTCATTGAATGAACATGTAGGAAACACCTTTAGATGCCAGGCATTTTGTTTGGCTATGGAAGCATGAAAACGAACGAGAGCAGATCCCTTCCCTGGCAGCGTCGGCAGTACGGAGGGAGAGCAATGCAAAACAGAAGAACAAATATGAAATCAAATCTTCGGGTAGCGAAAAAGCATGAAAGTATAAATCCATGTAACATAGCAACCACAATTATAATAAGACCCTGACTATGAGAAAAACGGAATATGGTATTCCTGGTGTCAACTTAACATAAGTAGTCATTGACAAGGGTCTTGAAAAATAAATAGAAATTCAACAAGTTGGAGAAGGAGGAAGGTGGAGAAAACAGCTAACAAAACAGCAGCGCAAACACAGACAAGCATGGCGTAGGGGAGGAACTGGGAACCCTTTGGTGTTGTGAGACCCACGGCGCTTACACACTCAAATGGCAAGAAACGAAGGGAGAAGGAGGTTCAGGGTAATATTATAAGGGGCTGTGCTCACGACAGTTAGGAGAGAAAGGCAGAATGATGCAATGATTCTGGGTTAAATCAAAGTCCTGCTCCTTACTAGCTGTGTGGGCGAGTTAATTCTATGCTTCAAGCTTTAGTTTTCTCATTTGTAAAATTAGGATAATACAGTGTTATTGTGGAAAGAATTTGAGATAGCAAATATAAAAGTGTTTAGTTGTTCCTGACATTTTTAAATTGCTCAGTACATTTTGGGGTAACCCGATTTTATACTGAAGGCAATGGGAAACTGTTGAAGGTCTCATCACGTTAGACTAGGGTATTAGATAACCATGGAGGCCGTGTGGAAGCTAGATCTGAAGAAGAAGGTGAATGGAGACAAGAAAATGAAGACCCTGTGGAAATGATGAGGGTTTCAACCAAATCTGTGCAATGCTGTTGCAGAGGAAGGGGATTTGAGGTAAACGTCAGAAGAAAAGTCTATACACTTAGTTACCAATTAGATACGAGATATGAAGGAGAGAGTAGGGAAGGACTCTAGATTTGTCATCTGGCCCTCTGGATAGATGGTAATGTCATTAATTTAAATGAGAGGTACAGCAGAGTCCAGATTTGAGGGGTGATGAGTTCGAGTCTTGATATTTTTCAGCAAATACTTTTGAAGGCTGATTAGAATATAAACAAACAAGACACAGTTCCTGACCTGAAGGGAGCAAATAGTCCCAAGAATATGGGAGAACAGAGGGGTCCCTAATTGCCATAGGAGATGGATTACTGTTAAGGAAGTCTTTCCAGTGCAAGTACATCCAAATTGAGGATGAGGACAGAGTTGAAATTAAGGAGGTGGTGTTTAGGGAAAACCTGAAGCAGGAGACAAAGGTTTAGAAGTCACTGGTAAACAGATGTGCCAGTTATGGAAGAGTCTACGTCAGCCAGAATAAAAGAGTAAGACCAGAGGTAAACAGTATCTCCAAGAACAGTATTTCAGTGGAAATGGAGGAGAGGAAACCACTGACAGACATTGCTTAGGAAGGGATGAAGAATTATGTGAAGGTCAGATGTAAGCACGGTTTCAGAAGACACCTGTGATGTAGGGCATAGTTCTGTCATGTACACCAGAACATTCCAGAAGGAAAAAGATTGGAAATGATTAAGGACAATCCGAATCTCACTGTGGCCTGATCAACAGGAAAAACTAGGGGTGGGGGAGTAAGAAAGGCGCTGCTTTTCTTTTAAATGATATTTGAAGGACAGTGAAGGGCAACGTCTTTGAAAGGCACAAGAGAGAAAAAGGCTGATGTAGAAAGGTCCCAGAAGAGAATAAGGAAGAGGAGGAGTCAGAGCAAAGAAGAATGTCCCCTCTTCTGATGACAAGGAGTAAAGGTAAGCTCAGTGACATCTCTCAGGCCTCCAACCTTATCAATGACCACAGCCACTGCTGCCTAATCGCCTGTTGAGCACATCCCTCCCTGTTATCCCCAACATCACTGGCCTTATGCTGTTTTAGGACTTTCTAGTTTCCATGGTTTATCCAAGTAACCTCTTAACTGGTCACTCTGGCTCCAGATTTCCCTCCCTCCCATTTGTTTTCTTTAGGAAATACAAATCGAACCCTGCTCAACGTTCAGGGCTCCCCAGTGCACTCAGACGGTCATCCAAAGCCTCTTGGAATGAATATAACTCTCTGACATGTGTCCTGCTTCTCAGCACTGCTTATGCTCACATACCATTTTGCTGTTGCAAATCACATGCACTTACTTCCCTTTCGCATGTTCCTCACCCTGCGCACCTCCCTCTCATCCTTTCCTGGAACTCTAACCTCTCTTCCAGGATTAACTCAGTGTCCTTCCTCCAGCTTTCCCCGGTCCCTCACCCCGCAGGCTGGGGCTTGTCCCACTGCTGCCTGCGTCCTGAAGCCGATCACACCTTGGGGTGTGACCTCTGACTGCTGATCTGTCTCCCTCCCAGAAGGAAATTCTTATTGTGACGCGGCTGGAATACAGAGTCAGCTGTTATTAGCTTATTGGAACTAAAACAAAAAAGCTACTGAAGCCCATAATTGATCATTCTTAGCCCAGATGGCAAGAGGTCAGCCTTCCTAAATTCAGTCCCATTTTCAACTTGCTTTTAATTGCATCTATGACTAAAAAAATGGAACATGTGACTTATCCAGAGGCTTCAGAGTTGCCCTTCCCATTCTTCCATTACTTGCTTACCACTTCCCTATTCCCTGGATTTCCCCTCTTTCCAACACAAATACTCAGCACATGGCCCCACCAGATGTCTTCCTCAAACTCTAGCCATAGCAAATCACAAACAGGTCCACAGTCATACCTCATGCATTATGTATTCGACTCGTACGCAGCTCTTACCTACCTAGAAAAATCAGCTCAAGTAAGAGTGTGAGGTAAGTATGGAACTGTTTGTGAGCCCTTCATAGAACCTTCCAGGTAAAGCCAAGCATCTCTTCTCTATGTACATACTTTCATAGTCCTTATCACATTGCCCTATAGTTTAATATCTCCCCCTAGACTTGATTTCCTCCACAGCAGGGCCACCTGTGTGTGTGTGTGTGTGTGTGTGTGTGTGTGTGTGTGTGTAAAATATACAATACATATTGTATTTATATTATCTTGGCAATAATGCATGGCACCAAAAGGCACTTGATAAACACTGATAAATGATTTGATCTAGTGAAGGATATTGGAAATAAACCAGTAAATATCAGCTCTCATTTGCTCAACAGCTCTTGGTGTGCTTTCCAGTTGACAAAGCACTTTCACATACATTTCTTATTCTATCCACAGGGTAAGTTCATAAAAATCATAACATGTACAGATGAAAAAGTAAATTCACATGCCCAAGTTGTTCAAAATAGACAAAGACTTTCCAATAACTGAAACAAGTATCAGTTTTTAAATTTCAATTTCAAAAAATTAAAATTAAATAGAATTAAAAAGTCAGTGTCTCAGTTACATTAGACACAATTCAAGTGCGCAGTAGCCACACGTGGCTAGTGGCTACCACTGGGCAGTGCTGACCTGGAAAGCAGAGACAGTAATTAACTGACATATTTAAGCTCGCATGGGGATAACTGGCCACTCCCAGGGTATGTTTCTTTCTAATGGGTGGCTAAACGGTGAGACTTTTTTTACTTTAATTTCTTGTACTCCTCACAGAGAAGAGAAAGCTTAAACAAGCCACCTCTCCCAGTGACAGAGAGACTGAATAGCTTTAGAAACATTTAAATAAAAGGAGACGGTTCTCTTGTAGGTTCTTAAGTGAAATTTGAAAGCTGAGATTTTATTTTAACCTTAGAGTTTGATGGCAAAAAAGGCAAGTGTGACCGTTTACAGACTCTGTAATTTCTGTAAGAAAGGGGTTTGCATGGTCACCGCTGCAAACGGGGAAGCACAAGAAAGGAAGGTCACTTTGTGAAACTCTATGACAGATTCATTTACCAGAGAAAACATCCCCAAAATCTGACCCATCAGGGCAACCATGTCTCTAAAATATAGTTCTTGACAGTAATTTCACCTAAAACATAAGAGTACCCTAAATTGCAAAATCGGGTTGAAATCTGAACCTAAACTTAGGCCCATGTGGCAACTGAGCTCTGGAAATGTAGCTAGTGTGGCTGAAGAACTGAATTTTTAATTTTATCTAATTTTAATTAATTTTTATTCAAAAACTAAAACTTGATTCAGTTTGCAGCAAGAATTTATGTTTATTTGGAATAATTCAGGGAAGTAAATCCACTTTTCCATCTGTAAATTCTGCAAATCTTATGGATTCTAAATACATTTTCATTCCATGAACATCTCCAGGAGTATTTTGAAGTGTGCCATGCACTGTGCTCGGCACTGGGGCCCCACCAGAGACTGAGACAATGCAGCCTCTGCACTCGCGGGGCTTACAGTACAGCAGGGAAGACCAACTCCCACAGAAAAGTGTTTTGAAAGCTGCAGTAGGGGTGGCTCATTGAGTTAAGAAAGCACAAAGCAGGAGCGCCTGACCTGTGCACGCAGGGCGGGAACCGCGGGTCCTGCTGCCCTGAATGCACTAGGAAGTCTGGATCTGCACAGCAAAAGAGCTCCCTGTTCTAAAAGCCAGTTTCCTGGATAACAAAAGCCCAGTTCATTTATATACAGAAAAAATGAACATAAACCAACAGCTGCCCTGAGAATATGACAGCTCACTCTTAACAATATAATGTTTCCACAAACTCATCTTTGTCCTCCCTGTGTTATGTAACTTTTTGATTCCTCACACTCATCAAGGTAGACACACAGTTATCTCAAATAAAAAAAGTATCTATACATTAAGTCAATAGCAGGATGGAATCCTTATTTGTAACTAGAGACCCTACCCAAATAACGAGAGACATTAAATATAGATATTGACTTTACATCACAGGACAAGCGGGGCACAATGTTATTTCACCAACTGGGCTGATATTTCAATTTAAAAGGGTCATTCATCAATGTAAAAAAGTTACAGTACCTTTTGAATGGTTCTATGATCCTTTTCTGCCTTCTCTTTCAGACTTATAATTTCATCTTCTGTAAACAAAAGGAGAGAGAGACCAACCATGAAATTACAAGCTTATGCCCTGTATTCAAACTGCCTGCTTCCGGGCAGGCTGTACACCACTGGCAGGCATGGTGGACGCAAGTCCTAGCAGGACTGTGACCTTCACAACTGCCCTTGACATTCACAGCCTTCTTCCTGCTGTTTAGACGGCTGGTCAGATAGAGATTAAGAACTAAGTTCAAGATCCAAGTGTGGCCGAGGGCTGAAAGCTTTTCATCAATACTTGCAAGGGACACTTTTGCTGTTAGTCACAGCCTATACAAAGTGTTTCAGCAGGTGGCACTTTCTGACTCAGTCAGAACTACCAAAACCTAAAAAAACACTATTACACCACATCAGAAGAAAAGCAAAACTACACTGGCACAGTATAACTGTATATTCAAGGGACATTGTAATATAAATGATTTTATCAATATTTTGTGAATTTCTTGTTGTTTAGTCATTGTTTTTCATACTGCAAGATTAAGGGCAACATTATATAATTAGCATAAAATCAAAGACAACAGTAAGTGAAAAATACTTAAAACAATCTAACTCTGGTGATTGAAATGCAACTTTTACCAATGTTTATGGCATGTAGAAAAAGGGGGGCACAAGTATACAAATGAAAATTTGTACTTAAAATCTATCAAAAATTAAAGATAATTAAGTAGTAAGTCAAAGCATGTTTTCCTGAAGGGCTAACTGTTTCTCCACAAAGCATATCCCAATACGTGTTTATAGGCATTTAAATGTTACACATTTTACATAATTAAGCATATAAAACAGAAATTGTCAAAAGTTTTTATCTGCGTATAATATGTCTACGTGAAATAGAGCATTGATTAGCACATTTTTTTTTCAAACATCAATGCTTGGCTTGAAAATAAAATTTTAAAAAATGCTCTAAAATAAAATGACATGGCTGAAGAGTATAATTATAATATTTATATATAAAATATATTCTCTGTTCCAAGCAAGAGATGCCACTTTAAATAAAAGCAAAGATGGCTATCAAACTGATCTTTTAAATGCAAATAACCAGACAAATGTATGTTTGGAGAAGATGAACATAGCTATGAATTTTATGAAGTGCCCAACATATACGTTATCTTTAAAAGTGATTTCAAAATGTCACCTAATACTGAATTTTCTTTTAGATTGAGTTGGATTTCATCTTCAAGTTCCAAAATGACTTGAAGCAGTCTCTCATTTTCCACTCTGTAGTCTAAAGTTTCCTTTTCTGGAGTTGATTTTGCAGAGCTGGTCTCTATGGCCAAAGAGTCCTGAAAGATGGGGAATTCCATATTTCTAAGCAGGGAGCCAAGAATTTAAATATGCAACACAAGACAATACAGATACAGAAGAGCTATCATATAATTTTCTGAATTCTATTACACACTTATAATATGAATAGTAAAAAGAGGGGATTAAATAGAGCTTGCTGGAAGAAAGGCTGCAGTACATTCTGTACAAAGACCACAGCACATGGGGACATTTTATTGACAGGAATAATGCATATCATACTGTTTGTGTGCCCTCATCATTCAGGTCAATTCATTATGGAAGCTGTGTCCGGGGAGGCAGCTGGGCCACTCCACCCACACTTCCTCCTGTGTGTGTCTGAAGTGCTGTCCGCCGGTAACTAGGCAGACTGGGGAGACCATGGACGGGCAGCGCCAGGGGGTAGCAAAGTGCATGGTTAAGGAGGGGGGCTTGTTGCCTTTGTGGCATTTTCCAGTGTCAGCGCTGCCAGTGTCATGAGGAGCACATCACATGTCAAAGTGGTGACGTTTTCAGGCTGGGAGCCGCATGGAGTCCATCAGGCACACGGATATCCACACAGTTGGTTTTCTGCTTGGTGGAGGAGCCACCCAGAGGCAATTCATATTCTGAACATTAACATGGCTTTGCATGCCTGTCACACTGGGGCTGTGCAGGCGTTTAATGCTATTGAAGACTTCGGTTTAAATCTCTATGCAAACAGCGATTACCTTGTAAGAAGGTTTCAGGATAACTCACAACAAAAGACTTTAAAGTTATAGTTTTAGTAAAGCAAACTCATTTACATTTTTATTATGTGAGTCTTTTGTTTAAATCTTGCCATGTCCATTATGGGAGAGGTTTTTTCTTACGCAATAGAAGCTTATTGGGACAGCTACTCTTCTTTTCTTCTTCTTCTTGTCTGTTTCAAAGCTAACGAAAACATCTGAATATACTCGCTACGACTGTCTACATTTTACTGCCACACATTTTTAAAATTAAGATGTAATGGATTGGGGAAACTGTGACATGTTGCAGAACTTTATGCTTAATTATGGTAAAATATTAGGCTGATTATACCATCTCAAAATATTAAAGAGTATGCTTAAAAGTCATCGTATTAGACTAAAAGAGATAGAATGCCTTGCTTCAAAATTGATAGAAACTGGAAATACTTTTGAACTTTAAAGTAATCTTTAGATGAATTATAACCTGAATAGCAATGCCACAGTTACAAATACACAAGAATAAAGCCTCCCCTCAAAAACGATATCATTCCTCTCAGTATGCTGCTTTCCTTTTGGCATTGTACATTTATTTAACTTTAGAGATACTTGAAAGTAAGTTATTAAAATATTTTCCTCTGTGATCATAATGTTTTTAAAAGAAAAATAAATGGCTACATGTTTTGTATTACATTAATAATTCCTTTAAAAACAAACAACTTAGTAATGTAGTTATTTTGGAGTTAATATTTAAAATAATGTTGTGAAATTTTGTACTAAGCCCAATTACAAATTTTCACTAGTTTGATTTACCATTTCATTTAAATTACTTGAGCTCAATTCATTCTTAATTAAAATATCTAATAATAAGCAACACCGTTTTCTTACTAAGGGGGAATCCAGTTATTAATTTCTTGTCCCATATGGTTAATTTGCGATTACCACAGAGTGTATTTATGAACTAAGAAGGCTGTTAAATAACAAACAATATTTGACTTAATAGGCGTACGCATACATTTCCTAACAGTGGCACAATTTGAACATCCACAGTGGATTACATGAGTGCGCATTACCATAAACTAAACAAGAACTATTTGAATTACTCAGGTGAAGCGTAAATTTTTAACTGGTAGCAGCTAACACCTAAATTGATTTTTTTCTAAAAATCTCGCGTAAGGAAAACACTTAACACACAGACGTTTCTCCACGTAGCCATCCACGGCTCCTGTTCTTGCCAGGTTAACCTTTAGCTCTGTCTCCACCATCCGTCGGGAGTAGGGACTGCAAGTAATTAACTATGCAGACTCCCACAGCAATGAGGACACTCATTAGCAAAATGAACAAAGGGATAGTTCTGGGCTGCTACGGTCATCTGTTACACTGAGTGGCAGGTTTTGTGATGCTGTTCCTTCTACCATCTGCCCACACCACTAGTTTTGGCTTACTTAAATCATGAGACTTCTTTAAAATACACAACATTAATAAACTAAGATTAGGAAGATCATTAAAAGGTTAATTAGATGTAGCTCATTTAAAGCCACATTACAGTGGATTAGAAATTGTGTGTGATTCATGACCATCTTGTAATTTTAAGTTTATAAAGGAACTTGCCAATATAAAGTTTTTTTATCACATGAAAAGTAGGACTTCAGGTGGTGGCTTATGCACTATTTCTCTTGTGAACAGCCACAAGATGTGCAGATTCACTGTTGCCAGGTGTTTAAATTCCAAAACTGTTCTTGAAAGAGTTGTTTCTGAAAAATAGTATCCTAGAGCCTTGCCACTCAAAATCTGGTCCTCAGACTAGAAGCCAAAGAATCACCTGGGAGCTTATTGGAAATGCAGAATCTCAGCCCCTGCCCAGCCCTACTATCAGAAGCTGTATCTTAACAATTGCTGTAGACAATCCATACGCACAACCAAGTCTGAGAAGTACTGTTGAGAGCACCGCATGCGCCTTCTCAGCAGTCTCCCTTCTGCCACACTGGTGTCTCAATTCTGCAGGCTCCACGCACACTACTTGGACATCTCAATTTGATGCTGGGGATGGAGTAGGGTTCAGATGCATGCCCAGGCCGCATGACAGTCACAGAGCAGAGCAGGTGCTTTCCCAGTGAGTGACAACCAGGAAAATGTCATGCTGGGACAGTGAAGCCCTGCGGAGCTGCCAATCTTGAATGACAGCTCTTTTTCAAAACTGTCAGCAGCAACGAGCAGTTATATTCACCTATGGAGGGGGTGCATGAGTGATGGTTGCACAGCTCATACATGTTGGGGTAAGAAAGAAAAGAAAGGTCTTTTCAAAAGAACAACTCCAACCGCAGTTAAAACACATATGCCCATGAACACACACTCTGACATGCCGTCTGTTTCAGCAGTTCTCAGGGGCATTTATTAACAAACAACACGACAACCTGATGACGACAGTGGCATGCAGTTAAGTCACAATGGTTTCCTATGGAATTGAACCTGAAAAGCTCAGACCTTGAATGAAGTTCCTTTCAGGAAAACTCAACATTAAGGATGGTTGACCTGGAGAGATGAGGCTTCTGTAACTTGAAGAGCTTCCTTTTCTAATTCCCATCTTGTTATAAATATAACTTAAACTAGCTCTTTATTAAACTTCCACATTTCTTTCACATTCTTATCAAATTTCTCCCAAAAACAGCCCTGGAGAGACTCTAGGACTACTTATTAACTGTAAAGCTACTTAGGTGATTTGACTATCACTAAGAATACACTATAGTGTTTCACTATTGTTTATTCAATTTGTTTGATTCAAGTTTTTTTCCAAGCTATTTCCATTGCTACTTTGGCACTTTTCTAATTGTCTCTCTATATTCTGTTTTTCCAAGTCTAATTTCAGATATTTGGCGACTTACACTTTTTTTATGCCACTAGAGGGAGCAGGTGTATAAAATGAAATTTTAAATAAAAAGCCAATATGTCATCTAGAACTTAAGTGGCAGGGAGTTTTAGGAGGCTTGTTTTTAGAGGACTTAAAAAAAGGGTGTTTTCCTAGAGATTTATTTTCTATAATACATGATCTGTTTTTGTGACATATAGTCTGTGTTCCTGAAACAAACATACGCTGGTGCTGTGTGGTGTCCTCGATCAAGGTGGGAGACTAGGGCCATATGTTTAGCCGGGGTCCTAAGAAGCTGGGAGAAACATATAGACCAGTTAATCAGATGCATCTCACCTTCCTCAAATCTTAAAAGATTGACAGAAAAACTGATGTGGTCTCCTTGGGGACAAATTACAGTAGAACAACCAGGGTCTCTGGGATGCCGTCCTGTCTTCCTCACAAAGCCACCACCCATCCTTATCCAGGACATCCAGACAGACCAGTTAACTGGATGAGACACTTAGGTAAATATTCCACGTAAGACCTCATGTTTTAGTGTAATGAGCTCCATTACTGAATTGGGATGTTATCAACAGTCCAGAGGCCTGTTCAGTGCATTTCATGGAATGTAAACCAGATGGTCATAAAAACTTATGTAGCTCCTCATAATGATAACTAGAATTTACATGCTTATCTTTCTTCAAGGATCTCAAAGCAATTCACATCCGGTACAACAGGCATCTCTTTTCATAACTCTCGCTTTCCGGTTCACAAATGGAAAATAAATGGATCAAAATGGCCTTCCCAATTCATGCTGCATTTCTTTGGCCAAGGCATAATTAACAGCCTGGCCAGTTTTTTAGTCTTTTACATTAAATTATTTTTCCCCCAAATTAAGAATAAACATGGACACAATAAAAGGTTAAAAATAAAAAAAGTGAAAAAACTGGATGTGTCTTCCCCTCCAAGACAATCAGAACATGAAAAACACTCAATATTCAATTTTATTAGACCTATGTTAATAATATTTAATACTACATTGCTTAGAAGATGCTCAACTTTTTGTTTTTAGAACACGAATAACTCAAATAGATTAAACAAAGCAAACACTTCTTCAGCAGTTAGTAAACTAAGTCCTTTAGAATGGTGCATATTCACTTCTTTGTCTCTTCTAACTTCAAAGTTTGAAGGGTGGAATTTAGATAAACCATAGATGGCACTTAAAAGGACCAGCAACCAAAAAGTATTTCTTCCTAGTGTTAGCAGTTTGATTGTTAACATCTCAGATTTTTATGTGTGCGTCAATATTTACATGTATATACGAGGTCTGTACGTAAAAAGTCCAGTCATTGTTAATATAATGAGAATGGTTTACATGACATCAGTGTAACCTGGCAGCCAAAGAGAGTGGACTGGAATGTCCGTGTGTGAACAATGATGACTTTACTGTACTAGTCAGTGGGCAGTAAATGCCGTTAAGCGAGTGCCGTTGAGTGAGCAAGTGTACTGTGTTGACCGTCACATTCAAAATGACTGAGCAAATAGAACAATGAATCTGCATCAAATTTTGCGTTAAGCTTGAACATTCCCCTGTGGAAACTATTTGGGTGATTCAGAAGGCCAAACCTATGGGCAACTGATGATTGGCAGCTTCATCATGCAACACACGTGTTCATGCATCAGATGTTGTGCAGAGTTTTTTGGTGAAATGTCAAATCACTCAGGTGACTCAGCGCTCCCATAGCCCAGATTTGGTGGCCTGGGACTTCTGGCTTTTCCCAAAACTAAAATTGCCTTGAAAGGGAAGAGATTTCAGACCGTCAATGAGATTCAGGAAAATACGATCAGATAGCTAATGGCAATTCCAGCAAAGGATTTTGCAGAGTGTTCTGTAAAGTGGAAGAGATGCTGGGAGAATTGTGTGAGGTTCCAAGGTGCATATACTTGGAAGGGGACTGAGGCGTCATTGTCCTATGTACAATGTTCAATGTTTCTTCTTCAATAAATGTCTCTATTTGTTATAGTACATGGCTGAATACTTTATGGACAGACCTTATATACATATGTAATATATATTAATTATGATATTAGACATTATAATATAAATAGACACTGTAATAATATAATCACATGTATGTATCTATAGAACAACCTTTAATTCTTATTGTGGAGCACAGAGCTCCACTTCTTTCTGTGGGATGTGGATTGAACTGGACCTCAGGTTCACGTGCCATCTTTACCACTTAATAGCTGTGTGTCTAGAGGGAAGTTACTTAGCCACCCTGTCTCTGCTTCCTCAACTGTAAACTGAGCTGTGAGATAAGAAGAGGTACCACTGAGGAGGCACCTGGCACCTGCTAGCTGATATTCAACAGACTGTTATTCCTCTAGCCTCTCTGCAGGCCTCTCCTACTCACCTGATCAGCTTCTCACTCTCAGAACCTAAGAATAAAACCCCTCCATGGCTGTGGACTGTGTTGGGCCAGGAGATCCTGGTGGCTCAGAGCTGACTTGAAATGAAAATGAATACACCCTCAGGGTCCACACTTTCCACAGCCCTTAAAATTCTTCTCCCTGACAGGAATGTAGGCTGTCCTTTCTGCTCTTTCTCCCTTTCCATTTTAGCTCCCATTTCAAAAGAAAGAACTAGCGAAAACCCTCTGAGAATTTTCCTTCTTGACATTTCTCCTTAAGGTTATCTTATTCCAAGCTGGCTTCATGGAAGCCTCTGACTTCCCTGGGGAGATAGTTTGGTATCTTTCAAACTATCTTGACTGCAAAAAAGGGCGGGAATCTCAGAAAGAGCAAGAAAATGAAAAAAGACTCAAAAAGAATGAAGAGGCATTGAGGGAAATGCAGGACAACCTGAAACATAATCATATCCATATAATAGGGATACCGAAGGAGAAGAAGAGGAACAAGAGATTGAGAACCTGTTTGAAAAAGTAATGAAGGAAAATGTCCCTAATTTGAAGACAGAAAAAGTCACACAAGTCCAGGAAGCACAGAGGGTCCCATTCAAGAGGAACCCAATGAGGCCCACTCCAAGGCACATCATCATTAAAATGGCAAATATCAAAGACAAACAGAATCTTAGAGGGAGCAAGGGAGAAAGAGGTAGTATCATAGAAGGGAGCCCCGATACGGCTGGCAGCTGACTTCTCAACAGAAACACTGCAAGCCAGAAGGGAATGGCAAAAAATATTCCAAGTAATGAAAAGGCCTGCAACCAAGACTGCTCTACCCAGCAAGGCTCTTAATTAAAATGGAAGGCAAAATAAGGAATTTCCCAGACAAAAGAAGGCTAAAAAATACACCTCCACCGAACCAGCACTGCACAATATGCTAAAGGGACTGCTTTAAGATGAAGAAAAAGTTTCTATGAATACCCAGTTCCTTTCAGAGTTGCCAATACTTGATATTACCAATATTTTTAATATTCATTAATCTGATTGTGACAATGATGTTATTTTAATTGTTCCTTTACTATTTGTTGAAACTAAACCTGTTTTAGTATATTTTTGCCTATTTCTATTATTTTTAATAATAGAAATTATTAAAAGCTTTATAAGCTTTTAATGACAAAAAAAAAGGTGGGAATCTTCAGAATTAAAACAAAAGGCTATTCACATGCTACTCTAGAGTGGGAACTTTTTGCAGTGGTAAATAGGTTATTTTATTGTCATTATAAAAAAATGAGAACAATTGCATTGCTCCTATTTATGAATATTAACAGTTTTCTAGAATGTGCCATTAGGCAGAAAAGGATTGGTCTGGCTTATGTTATGGAAGGATGACCCAAGATACATTACTTGTATTTCCTTTATTCCTAATCTAAGGTTTTAGATAGTTATAATTTTAGGTACATATATTAAAATTAGTTGACCTTGCTTTAAAACTTACAAATTTTTGAAATCCAAGTTCTTCATATTTTTCTATTTCTTCTCTTAATTCCTTAATCAATTCTTCCTTGCTCTTCAGTTTTTTTAACAAAATATTTATTTTGGCAGTAGCTGAGTCATGCACAGAAGTTGTCTCTTCTTCCACCTCAAAGAATTCCTGGGATGGGGGACAAGTAGGGGGAGCAACATTAAAAATCAGATGCTCTTGGCTAGCACCACCAGAAACCATTTCATGTTTTATTAAGCTACTGTATTGTAAGTTATTTTATTTTTGTAACTTGCACACAATGTTTAGTAAATATATTTATAAATATATTGAATTATATGCTAAAGTATCATGGCCTATAGCACAGCATTATCTTATAAAATACAAAACAAAGTATGTTATCTTACTTAACTGCATCAGTCCTGCAAATAATAGTAGTAAACTTTAATAGTAAATTCACATGATGATTGTGAATGACCTGCCTCAATCTTCTTCTAAAAAAGGACAGCAAATATTTGAATATGTAAAAAAGAAAGCAAACTAATTTCCTCAATGGTTTGGAATGGAGATGTGGGAAAAAAGAAATTCTGCTTCGTTTTCTTTCATTTTTTTTTCCCATGGAAAAGGTGTGTTGACCTTTAATCTAGGCAAGCTGTGCTTCATTTGGAAACAAGAAACTGAGACCACAGTAAAGGAAGATGTATCAAAATAGAGGGGCTTTTTTAAGCTTTTTTTAAAACCCTCACTCAAGGATATGTTTTTATTGATTTTAGAGAAAGAGGAAGGGAGGGGGAGAGAGAGAGAGAGGGAAACATTGATACATCAAGGTGAGAAACACCCATCAGTTGCCTCCTGTACACGCCTGCGGCCGCGCGGTGCGCAGGGGCAGGGCGCCGCGCCAGCCAGCTGAGCCGCCCAGCCAGGGCGAAGTAGAGGATTTTTTTAATGTGAAGTTGTGGCTGAAGAACCATTAGACACAAGAAAATAATCGTCAGGGTCTATGTGCATAACCATTCTAAATTTACATAATTCTAATATATCATTCATTCCCCTTCTCTCTGCAGGAAAAAAAAGATGCTTATGTTGTGCTTCTCTTAAAAACCTAATAAACTGTTTTACGATAACTGTAATCAAATAGAGATTAACTTTTAAAAAATCCACTCTTGAATTAGTTTGAAATAAGTTATTATAATATTAGTTGATATCATTTGTCATATACAGCCTCTATTTTAGTTCATTTGAGCTTATATCTTGAGCATTTCTCATATCATTAACATTTTACATAAATTTAATTACTGATGGTTGCATAACATTCTGCTTTATAGAAATGCCATGATTTATATAATGATTATACGTTTTAAAGTTTTCCAATATAGTTAATCTTTATATATAAATCTCTATCCACAATTCTGATTTTCTCTGGGTAAATAGATTCCTAGAAGTAGAATTCCCAGCCAATACATATGAATGTTCTAATGGCCTTGATTCATTGTATAAAGTTTTTTTTAAAGATTGTTTAATTTATATCCCACCTTGAGGATGAGGATATTTGTTTTACTATACTTCTTGAATTATCCTATATTTCTATTTTTAAAGTCTTTCCCGTGACAACATGTAAACATAGTATTTTATTTTTGTTTTATTCAGCATGTTTGATCACCATTCAAGGTAAAGTTTTTATATGATACTCACTATTTATATGTTTTACATTCTGACAACACTCAATTCTAATTATGTATCATTTTACTGAGAACTCAAAATATTTTTAGAACTTCCCTTGATCTATATATTAATAAATTTTATTAATTATTTCTGCTATTTTCATTGGTTAGAGTATAAGTACCATTTCCTGACAGCCTTTTTTAAGCATTTAGGTACTTCCTTGTTTGTGGTAATTACTCTGGAGAATTGTATCACAAAACCAAAACAGGTAAGAAATGCTTACAAACTCAATGCCATTACTGACTTCCAGCATATAAAAATTTCATTTTCAACACTGACATTCAAAACCATAATATCCATTTGGTACTCTTGAGGGAATTGCAGAAGAATGGTTTTATTTTTATCATAAGTCCATTACTAAAACACTTGGGCACATGCACATACAAGAAATAGAGTAAAATCTAATCATGTTGGCTAACATACTTAATACTGTATTCAAAAAGTCAGATTTACAAACTAAAATTGTTCTACATTATATAATGAATACCAGTAGGCTGAGAAAAATAATATATTGAGGTAGAGTTAATAGTCCACACAGGAACATAACACTGACATAGTCTATACAACAGAAATTCAAAAAATCAATATTTGAATATGCAGTAGACTTAAGAATAGTAGAAATAGAATAATCTATATGATATCAGCTTGTTAAGTTGGGTGGTTTTTAAAGAGCGTATTGATTATGTAGATCTATTTTTCCCATTTCTTTGTAGCTGTGCCTACAAACCAAGCGCTCTGCAGAGGCCAAGACACACCGCCCCACCAGTGCCCTGGGTGTCACCAGGGCATCTCAGGTTTGACAGGTCCAGAGTTCACCATCTTCACGGTCATCCTTTCTGTCTCCCTCCATCAACAGCAGCACAAGCCCCAAACCCATTTTCTGTCACTTTAAGCCGCTCTACTCCCTCACCAACTCACCAAATCTATTCAGTGCACTCCAAAATTCTCCCAAACCCATCCTCTCCTTCCCTGTCCCGCCGCCATTGCAGTGCTTGCCTTGTTTGCCTGGACTACTCTAATAGTCTGTTAACTTGCCTCCCTGCCTCCCCTTTTGTGCTCTCCAACCAATCTCCACACTGTGGCCAAAATGATCTTTCTAAAATGCATTTCTTACGAGCTCTAGCTCCTAAGATATCTTTTAGTGCAGTGCACAAAATAGCATCCTTCACGATCTGCTGCCAGCTTATCTGGCCACTACCTTCTCTCCCCCTCCTCCTACCCAAACAGCCTTCTCTCCCCCTCCTCCCACCCAAACAGGGCATTTTATTAGTACTGATATTCTGCATGCAACTTCTCAGAGATCCCATGTTGTCCCAGGTTTCTATGCCTTTGAACTTGGAGGTCCAACCCCACCTAACAAACTTCTACTTGTCAGTCAAGTAGCATGGCAATACAGTAGGCCAGCCTGGGTCTACAGGCCAGCTTTGCAGTCTCTTAGTAGTTTTGTGACCTTGAACAAGTTTCTCAGACCCACTTTATCTCACTTTTATCATCTATAAAATGGAACAAATAATACTACCACAATTGTTGAGAATTTCAAAAGATAATGCATGTAAACAATTTGGAACAGTGTCTATAAGACACTCAGCTCCCGATAAGTATAATATCTTAGCATTTATTATTGTCGTTACTGTTTGTCGTTTCATCCCAGGTGAGGGGTAACATGCCACCTGCTCTGGGAAACATTAGCACCTCTCTCTTTCCCACCTGTCTTCTACCACTGGGTTCTCTCTGTATCTTGGTACCACTCTTCTAGGGCTGATTTGTTATTTGCTCACTAATTTTAATGTTCTGAATGTGATGATTTTATTTTACCCTTAAAAAACAGCCAAACAAAGATGCTTCTGACAGGCCAGCCAGGTCATCTCCTTTAAAACACAAACCACAGTACAAACCACCCCTGGGCACTCATTTGAAATCCAAGTAGCAGCTACTGCACAACTCAGCCAGCCTGTCTTTAGGATGGCCCTGATCTCTCTGGACTTCTGCAGGGACAGAGGGCATCACAGCTCCTCAGAAGAATAAAAAGTTTCACTTCTGACATTTCATAAAGTAACTGTAAGGCCCAAACACATTGGCTTCACTTCTCTTCCTCCCCCAGAATGTTTCTGATGTTTTATTGTTGTTTATGGAACCAGCTGGAGTCAAGACAAGATGAGTGGAAAGCAGTTTTATTTTCCTTTCCTACCCCTTCAGATCAGGTCTCCAGTCTCCTGTTTTTCTCATCTTAAAAGAACTCTCAAGAAAGTGCTATAAGTTTAAAAAAAAACACACAACTTCTCAGATAATAACAAAATTGTATAAAGGAAAGAAGAAAAGAGGAAAGCAAGAGTCAAGACAAAAACAAAACCCCGCTAATCCCAGTCCAGCCTGCACATACCCATCAAAGCCGCTGTCTCCCCCAGCTCTGGCCTCCTTTACACTCGCAGCCTGCAGGGGGGGAGAGGGGCTGATTTGGCTTCCTTTTCTGGTATCCAGGGAGTTGGTCAAATACCAGTCTAGAAGTGGCTGTGAAGGTATTTTTTCAATGTGAGATAAACATTTAAATTAATAGATTGAGTAAAAAGATTAACTTCCATACTGTGGTGGGCCTCATCCAATCACTTTAAGGCCTTCAGAGAAAGACTAAGGTTCCCAGGGGAAGAGGGAATGCTGTCAGCAGCCTTGAACTGTAAACATCAACTCTTCCTTAGTCTTCAGCCTGAGGATCTAGCTTACAGATTTCAGATTTTTCAGCCCCTACAATCACGTGAACCAGTTCCTTAAAATCTCTTTCTTTCTCCCCCTCTCTCCAAATGTCTTATTTTGTTTCTCTGGAGAATCCTAACACAACATCTACACCTCAAGTCCCTAAATTCACACCTATACCTTTAATTCCAAGCCAGCACCACAGTGTTTATTTTGGCCTGTCTCCTTTCCCTAGTAAACCCCCTCTCTGGCAGCAAGAAAACTGGCTGCTGTCTATGCTCAGTGCACTGATGTATTTATTTGTTGGAGCCTCCCTTCATGTAGCAGACCTCTTGACCACACCGTGCTACTGAGAGCCTGGCTCAGGTGTCGGAGAAGAGAAAGGAGGTGTAACCCAGGGTAAGTCTAGCTGCCTCCTGCCCAACTCGTGAGACAGTTGCTGGTGGAAAATAAAAGTGGTTTATTCAGATGCCTGCAATCTGAGCAGATGGCAGACTCTTGTCTCAAAACTCATCTTAACATCTCAGTGCAGGCAGAGGTTTTTTATAAGGAGGGAGAAGGAAAGCAGAACAAAGTTCTCCATGTGCAGACCAGCACAGTCCATTTCAGGAAGGATCTTGAAATTGATCAAGCAATAGTCTGGTGTGTGCCATCCTGGTTTTCGTCATCCTGGTTTTCTGTCATCTTGGTTTTATGTTTGGATGTCAGCAATTCTTTGGAGCCGGAATGCCTGAAGGTCAGAGCCTGCATCTTTTAAAGTC